CCTTCCATCCCTCACTGCCCCTCTCTCCCAGACCAACCACTCTTCATGTTTTCCAGAAAGGACAGTGCAGAAAATCTCACCTGTCTTTGTAGTCCCAAATTTCTGAGGTTCAAGCACCAAAGGCTGTTCCCCATGACCTCCAGGCTACAGGAGAGGTGGGAGCTCAGAGGAGCGGCATGCTATAGTGATCCCTTTCCTGTGGGAGCCTGGGGTTATTGCCTCAGGGAAAAGAAAAAGTTGATGAGAGAACATCCACCATGCATTTGATACCCTCCTGAACCCCAAGATGACATTACACTTCCCATTTCAGCTGTGATAAGATAAAATACTTTCATAAAATTCTTTGTGTTTGAAAGGACCTTAAATACAGCTTAGTTCCAACCCCCTGCTATGGACAGAGGTACCTTCCACTAGACCAGGTTGATTCTGATTCTGTCTAACATGACCACTTCCTTTCAGGGGAGGGACAGCCACAGCTTCTCTGGATAACCTCTTCCAGAGCCTCACCACCATCACAGTAAATAAATTCTTCCCAATATTTAATTTAAACTATTTTTTTCAGTTTAAAGCCATTCCCTTTTATCTTATCACTACATACTTCCATAAAGGAGCCCCCTAGCTTTCTTTATGTACTGGAAGGAGCTATAAAATCTCTCCAGTCTTTTCTTTTCTGGGATGAACAACCTCAACTCTCTGAACCTGTCTTTGTAGCAGAGGTGTTCCAGCTCTCTCATCATCTTAACAGGCCTCTTCTGGACCCTTTCCAGCAGGTCCATATCCTTCCTATAGGCCTTTTATATTGGGGGTCCTGGAGCTGGAAGCAGTACTCCAGGTGGGGTCTCATGAGAGGGAACTAGTGGGGGAATATAGCTTCCCTCAGCCTGCTGGTCACATTTCTTTTGATGCAACCCAGGATATGGTCAGTTTTTTGGGCTGCAAGCACACATTTCCTGGTCATGTGATGCTTCTTCTGCACCAAAAGCCAGGGTCCTTCTCCTCAGGGCACATATCAATCCATTCCCCACCCATGCTGTATTTTTCCTTGGCCCTGCTCTGAATCCAGGTGCAGAACCTTTCACACGATCTTCTTGGACTTCATGAGTTTTGCACAGGCCCAGGTCTCAAAGTCCACCAAAGTCCTTATGCTCTCTATGGATCATCTCTGCTGTCTGTAAAGGTGAGCCAGCCTTGCCTCAGGAATTTGTCAAACCCAGAAGGGACAGATTTCCATCCCTTCCTACATCAGGCTTGCTTCCCTGAAGACAAAGCAACAGCTTCACTTGACAATATGGTAAATTAATTCCATGTTTTCATGAATGAATTAATTGTTGCAGAGGAATGCTCAGTTCAGTTAGTGTCCCACTTTAACTTTAGCTCCCTTGCACAAACCATGGCAGATCCCAACCACTGTTCTCTCCTCTTCCCAATGACATGTGATAAAACCTCTACCTATGATCTACCTTATAGAGAGAACTGGATTTATTTTGTCTGGAGAAAAGGAGGCCAAGGGGAAAGTTTATCGCTCTAACACAACCTGGAAGGTAGTGTGTGTCAGTCTCTGCTCCCAAGAAACAAGTGATAGGACAGGGGGAATTGGCCTCAAGTTGCACCAGGGAAGGTTTAGATTGGATATTAGGGAAAAAGTCTTCCCTGAAAGGATTAGCAAGCATTGGAACACACTGTTGAGGGAGGTGGTTGAGTCACCGCTCCTGGAGGAGTGTAGATGTGGCACATAGGAACATGGGTTAGTGGTTGAGTGGGCAGTGTTATGTTTATGGCTGGACTTGATGATCTTGAAGGCATTTTCATGATTCTCTGACTGTGCAGCTATCAGGAGTTTTGGGCATTTGAATTAGACAATTAATAATGAGACAATCAAAAGGTCAGTGCAACCAGGAAACACCACACATACAATGAACTTTTTCTTCTCCATGTATCTTCTAACCCCGGTGAAGAATGGCCTTCTCATTGTCCCTGCATGGAGCAATCAGTACCTGCAGACCTTACTGCATTTGTTCTTCCTCATCATGTTTCTTTTGTGAAGATCTGTCACTCCTCCACTGCTGCATCAAAGCTGATGGAGACTTTCCTTGTCACCAGGAAAACCATTGCCTCCTGCAAGCCCTGGTCATATGTAAATTTGGTTTGTGGTTGTCTTCACCCAGGTGGTTCTGCTGACTGGCCCACCTGCATCCAGGAAAGCCATCACTTAATCCCTCACATGGTCTCTGCTGATCCTGATCTAGCAGCTGCTCCCATCCCACTGTGTGTGCCAAAGAAAATCAAAGAGTTGGAGAACCTGTGCTATGAGGAAAGACTGAAGGAATGTAGCCTTTTCTCCCTGGAGAGCAGGACTCTTGGGGAGGACTTTATCAGAGTATTTACATGATTAAATGGGATCTACCAAGAACACTGAGGGTTTTTCAATGCAAGGATCAACATGGAGGGTCTGTCCATGAGGGTCACACACTGAGTAAAGAGGAACTGGAGATTATTTGAGTCAACTGGCAACTGAGACCAGTGCTTGGGTCTAAGCATGAGCAAGGTGAAGCCTTGGTTTCTGGACATAGCAAGATGTGCACAGGGGCCAGTAAGATGGAGAAAGACCATGTCTCTGTCTTGAACTGAGGGCAGGAGTGTGTGTGGAACCTCATAGGCTTCATGGGACGCTCTGTACCTGAGTTGTTATTCTGACACCGCAGTGCCTTGCAGAGTTCCTTTTCTGCATGCAAGAGGCCATGGATATCCAGGGGGTCACATGGATTAGAGCATTGCTCAAGGTTGAAGGCAAAGGAATTTCTGTGTCCCATCCCCACTGCTGCCACTCTTTGAACTTGTGGTTTCACTGGTGGTCGCTGTGCAGTAGCCAAGGATGTCTTCATTAGCTCCAAGAGAAAGACCACGGAGGAAAATCCACTGCTGGGACTCCCACCCTCTGCCATTCTTAACTTTGTACGTGAGCAGATTTGAAGAGTTGCCACAGAAAAAAAAGGAGAACTTGGAGGCCAAGGCATGAAAGCACAACTTTAATGAGTCTAACGAAGAAAAGGAAAACACCAGGGGCAGTCACTAAGATGCAGTGGAGCTCCTGTAGGGTGTCCATCTGCCTGCCATACAGAGGGAGAGAGAGCAAAATATCCCAAGACTGGCCTGGGGAGACACAGAGAACAGGTGGTAAGAAAGGGCAGAGGGGAAGAAGCGCTGTCATGTCCCCTCACGTGGCTGTCCTTGGGTGTGTGCGCAAGAAGCACAAAGGGGATGACCATTTCCTGACAACCTGGACAAAAACAAACCACTCAGAAATTACCCAAGCGAACATCACCCATGCACAAGGAATGCCAACAGCCCTTGATCTGAGACTTCTGCCACAGAAATCCTTGAGCCTCTCATCCCAGCAGTTACAGAATGAGATCTTCATATAGGAAAGCATGTGGGAGAAGCCAGGAAATGAAAAGGCAGTGGAGCAGGAAACCAGGACACAGCCCCTACCATTAGCTGGGATGGTGCACATTTGACATGAGCTGGTCAGAAAATTATGACTTCCACAAAGGTGCCTCTGGGCCTGAGGCAGGGCAGGACTGCTATAAAAGGCAGCCCAAGTCTCTGCTCTCTCATCCACTTCTCTCACCTCCTTCTCCTCAGGAATCCTCAGGTGAGTGGGAAGATCCTGCTCCTGCTGCTGCTGCTTCAAGAGCAGCTCTTTCCTGGCTGTAGGTCTCAACTAAGAGGGGCTCTCATAGCACAGGGCTGGGAGCTGCTTCTGCTGGGAGAGGGCAGGGGAGAGAAGGTCTTGTGCAGACAGTGAGAGGCTGGCACTTGGCTGAGGTGGCTCCTGGGCTTTGAGCTGGGCAGTTCAATGTGGGCCAGGAGATGCCTTGGCTGCAGGGTGTTTGGGTGCAGTGCTGCTTCTCACGTGTCCCCACTTTCTTCTCCTGCCTGTCCTCTGTGCCAGGTGCACCTGTGACCCCGAGCCATGTCCTGCTGCAAGCCCTGCGACCCTTGCTGCCAGCCCTGTGGCCCCTGCCCGCTGGGCAGCAGCTGCAATGAGTGCTGTGTCAGGCAGTGCCAGAGCTCCCATGTCGTCATTGAGCCGCCTGCTGTGCTGGTGACCCTGCCCGGCCCCATCCTCAGCTCCTTCCCACAGAACACCGCCGTGGGATCCTCCACCTCCGCTGCCGTTGGCAGCATCCTCAGCTCTCAGGGAGTGCCCATCAGCTCCGGGGGCTTTGACATCTCCAGCATCACCAACTGCTTTGGTGGCAGCAGATGTCGTCCCTGCTAAATCTGCTTCTGGCAATGTCCTCAGGCAAGAATTTCCAGTACCTCAGAATGTAGTTCTGGGCAGGAGATAGAGCTTTTGGACATTGTCTTTATAGTATCAGCCCATTGTTCTCTTCTTGCACTCTTTTTTTCCTCTTCTTTGCTATCTATGTCTCCTTAAGCCAGTCTAGTGGAGACACATGCCCCTTCGTCACTCTTTTGGGCAAGCAGATGCACACTCTTCAGGAGCTCCACTGTGTCTTAGTGGCAGCACCTGATGCTTTCTGTGAGCCACCTCCTTTTTTTCTTTACACTCAATAAAGTTTTTTTGCATCCAAGCCTGGGCCTCTAAGTCCTCTTTTGTTCTCAAGTAAATGTTCCAGTCCACTCGTGGAAAATTGGTGGAGGAAGCAAAGAATGGGATTCTCTGCAGTGGATTTTTATTCCTGCCCTTTTCCTTGGAGGGGACAAAGTTACCCCTGACTATTCAGCAGCTAAAGGCCATGAGGGAGACATCAGGCAATAGCTGTGAAGGAAAACAAGAATTCGTGTATCCAGTCCACAGTTTTATCTCTTCTTCTCCTCCACTCCCTTACCTAGTCTAGGGTCCATGGCTCCCACAAGAGCACAAGCAGATCTGATGCACTCCCTCAGTACAAGCAGGCAAAGCTTTCCAGACATGTAGAGCTGAGGTAATTCACAAGTTAGAATTGGTGCAAGTCATATACTAAGGATACAATCTGGTAAATTACTTTTGTTGAGTTTCTGCAAATGACTTATAACTTCAGTATTAAATCACAGCATTTCTCCCATGTATGGATGGATATAACCTGTCCATCAATGTCTACCTGACTGAAGTACTGAATTATATCTTGAATTATGGTCAAATTATGGGAAATATTAGTTAAAGTGTTGGTTTTTTGTCTGTTTTGTCTAGAGGCTGTTACTGCTTGAAAATTTAAAAATAGTGAGTGAGAGGAAAACTATCTCTTCTCCTCATCATCTCAGACCCCTTGTCTCATTTTTCTTCCTCCAATCCTCCATCACTTCTGCCTCTTCCTTCTGATCTGTCTCAGCCTAGTCTTTCACAGAATAAAAAGTATTGCAGAAGCTCTTTCTCTCTCTGAAGTAAACATTTTCTTACCCTTCAACCCAAACAGACAGTACCTTTGATAGTTGATTCAGGGGCACAAAAGTCTCTCATCCCACTCATTCTTAGGGTGTCCCAGTCTCTCCTCTAGCTGGCATGTGTTGTGCAGCATGCCCTGACTATCCACTCCTCCTGCATCTTTGCAGTGCCAGGGCTTGCTTTTTTTCTCTCCCTAAACCTTGGAGACTTCCAAAAGGACAAGAAACGAGGAGCAGGATTAAACATTGCACAGGTCCCTCCAGGTGTCCTGGAGCCAGCACAGAAGGACCAGGGACTACAGGCTGTTCCCTGGAGACTCTGGGCAACATGATATTAGGTATGGAAGATCTGATTCTCTCTGGGGTTCCCTATGGGAGGTAAATGGCATTATTTTGCTGTGGGACACCTGCTGAGCTGAGGTCTCAAACCTCTTGCCCAAACATCCCCCACCCTTGCTGTTCCCATAAATATGGCTGTAGCACAGAACACGAAACAAAAAGGTGCTGTGGCAGTGTTGATGGCAGGGCTGCCGCAACTACCCTGAAGAAGCCGTCCAAAAGGACCGCTCAGGAGCACTGGCACATCCTCTGCCCGGTGAGTGGTCTCTGCTCAGCGGCAGTCAGCAGGCGACGCAGGAAGAGAGACTCAAGCTCTGTATGGCATAAAAGCAGTAGCCTTTATTAAAGCAGGTCCCTCAGTGAAAGGAGCCAGTGACAGCAACTCCTGGAACTGGGGAAAAAAACCTGGGTATTTATAAGTAAGGAGAGGGGAGGGGGAAACTTGGATACATGTATCAGGGTGGATTGATAGGGAGGGAAACCAATGGGGTGCAACATATTAACATAACTTAACTCAAGAACCCCTGGGAGTGACACTTTTCTCTCTCTGAGAGCAAAGTGCCTCACCTAGGGAGAATCCCTCCAAGGGAGGGCAGGGATCTCTGAATTGGCCGGTTCCCTGGCCTCCACAATAAGGGAGCCTTTTCTGCTGCTGCTTTGTATCGCCTTGTTTAGCATCTCAGAGCTTTTCCCTGCAGAATCACATTTTTCTTCCAAGCACCTTTGTCAGATCACTGTCACCCAGCAATGACAACTCAGACGAGAGGAGAGAGCACCTTCCATTTACCTTGTTCCTACCAGACCAATAACTTTTATGCCTTGCTCTGGTACCAGCTGCGGAAAGGCCAAGCCCCACAGCCGCTCTCCTATCAAGCAGGCTCTGGCCCCAAGCACAGCGGCCGGATCACCACGCATCTCAACACCACGGGGAAATACAGTGTCCTGAAGGTGGAGGAAGTGCAGCTCTCTGACACTGCCTTGTACCTCTGTGCTGTGACAGACACCCCGGTGCAGGGAGCGTCCCCGGCTGTGCAACAACCCAGGGGAGGGACGGAGGGATGGAGGGGAGGTGTCTGTGCAGGGCTGATCTTGGGGAAAGGTGAGCTCTTCTCTTGGAGGACAATTTCCTTGGTGCACCCAGAGACCTTCAGGCCTTTATGTCAACGGCTTGAGAAGAAAGAAGGGGTGGTGAAAAAAACCCTGCTTTGGAACAGGTTTCCCTGTGCATCCCAGGGCAGGAAAGTATTTGTCATGTGCTATGCAGGAAACACTTGTCCATTCTCCTCTCGGTGTGCTCTGCACAGCACCAAGGGCTGGCAGGAACCAATCAGAGACTCACCCGAGCCTCGTAGTCAGATCCTGTGAAAAGGGTCTGGGGGTTTTCTGTTTGTTTTCTATTTTAATAAAAGGTCTTCATTTAGTTCCCTGAAGCTTTTCTCAAAACCCTATCACTCATTGCAGCTGTTGGCCAGTGGGGTGGGGCTGCAAGGCTGGCACTGCTGTACACAGGACATGTCTTGGGGCACAAGGAGGACTTGGAAGGAGGAAAAAAAATACCAGGATAAATGAGAAGCACCACATCAGGAGTGAGCCAAGTAACATGCAGGGCCAGGAGGTGGAGGCTCTGCAGAGATGTATGAGGGCTCCTTGGCCTTATCCTGCCAGGCTTCAAAAGAGCTACCAGCTCCTATGCAGCTGCCCAGAGTTATTTTCTGTCAGACTTATCTTGAATGCAAAATATTGCATTTGAAATGCAAGACATACCATTTAATGCGATGGGCTGTGGCTTGGCTTCCTGAATGGCTGTGTTTTTATGTCCTGTTTTATTTTTATTTCAGGCACATTTTTCCAATGAACACTTTTTTGGGTTTTTTTGTTTGGTGTTTTTTTGGGGTTTTTTTGCTTGTCAAGATGAGAGGTTCAAGCAATTCTGGATCAAAACACATCAGCTTGGCCGAGTGTAGTTAAAGCAAATTATGTCAGTCTGGATCACTGCTGTGGGGATCTTTGGTGGCCCTGTTGGGAAGGAATGACTCAGCTCCTGAATTTTGTGCTGTCCTGCCTAACAATGAACCCAGTCAAATTCTGCTCCTCCTTCTCTTTTAGAGAGAAGGAGCCCATGTCTGGGGCCTTGTTCCTCTCCTGAAGGCTCCATCATCTCCACATGTCCACAGCAGAGGCCATTGTTCATTCTTTCACAGAATCGTGGAATATGCTGAGTTGGAAGGGACCCAAAAGATCATCAAGTCCAACCCATAGCGTTGCACAGGACACTGCCAAGAGTCAGCCTATGTGCCTGAAAATGTTGTTTAAATTTTTGTTGAACTCTGTCAGGCTTGATGCTGTGCCCACTGCCCTGGGGAACCTAGTCCAGTACCCGACCACCCTCTGGACAAAGAATGTTTTTCTGATATCCAACCAAAACTTCTTCTGACATAACTTCAGACTATTCTTTTTAGTCCTGTCACCACAGAGCAGAGATCAGTGCCTTCCCCTCCTCTTCCCCTCCCAAGGAACTTGTAGACTGAAATGAGGTCTGACCTCAATCTCTTCTTCCCCATGCTGAACAGACCAAGTGACCTCACATGCTCCTCATGAAGCTTTCCCTCAAGGCCCTTCCCAATCCTTATGGCCTCCTTTGGACCGCTCCAGTAGCTTAATGTCTCCTTCTAAATTGTGTTGCCCACAACTGAACTTAGGGTGAGTCCACTCCAGTGCTGAGCAGAGTGGGACAATCCCCTCCCTTTCTCAGCTGGCAATGCTGGACCTGATGCCCCCCAGGACACTGTTGGCCCTCCTGGCTGCCAGGGCACTGCTGGCTCATATCCAACTTGCCATCAAGCAGGAGCCCCAGGTCCCTTTCCATGATACTGCTTTCCAGCCTCTTGGTCCCCAAGTACCTCCAGGGTTGCCCCATTCCAGATGGAGAATCCAGCACTTGTCCTGGTGGAACATATGGTTGGTGATTGCCCAGCCCTCTGATTTGTTCAAGTCTCTCTGCAGGGTGTCCCTACTTTTGAGGGAGTTGACAGCTCCTCCTTGTTTTGTATCATACATGAACTTGCTTAGTTTCCCTTCCAGTCCTGCATTCCTGTCATTTATGTAGATGATGAAGAGCACTGGGCCAAAGATGAAGAACTACAGAGCCCCAACAGTGACAGGTCACCAGTGTGATGTCACCCCAGTCACCGTCATGCTTTGTGCCTGACCCATGAGCCAGTTGCTCACCCATCACATGAGGTGTTTATCCACCTGTGGGCCAGACATTTTGTCCAGAAGGCTCCTGGCAGAGAATCAAAACAGTATCCACAGTATCAAAAGCTTCACTACAGTCCAAAAAGATTATATCAACTGCCTTCCCTTGATTAAGCAGGTGAGTTACCTTGTCATAAAAGGAAATCAGATCTGACAAGCAGGACTTCCCTCTCATGAAGCTGTGCTGGCTGTGACTTTGCATGTTCTTGTCTCATGTGCACTTGTGTGCAGCTGGGACTGTGTGAATATACATAGGTGTAAAAATTTGTGCATGATTCCTTTCTGACATGCTTAAGTGTGTGTATGTCCATCCCTCCTCATGAGAGATTGCTCTACTTATGGCATTAACATGCTCCACTGCTCTGCCAATAATCTCCATAGAGCACCCAGAGTGTAAATGAACTTCTGTGTAGCTGAGCAATAACAGAACAAACCTGGCAAAGTATTATCTTCACCACAGCCACCGAAATGCAATCTTCTCTACCTTCAATCCTGCTTTTCCTACTGCTTCAAAGCTCACACTCTGCTGATGCTGATTCCTGGACCAAATTACAATTATTTCATACCAGTTTTGATCCTTAGTTTAATTCACTGTAAAC